CCCTTGGAACTGGAGTTGCCAATAGTTCTTAGCCACTATGTGGGTGCTGGGAGCCAAATCTGGGTTTTTGACAAGAGTAGCCAGTGCTCTTAATCATTGAGCCATCTCCCTAGCATGCATATTTATGCTTTGACAATCACATGTATGTAAACAATACATGTTGATCATATGCTGCCCCAACTCCCAGCTCCCACTTTCTCCAAAGTCGCCAACTCCTGCCTCCTACCCCCTCCAGGCACCTGCAATATCTTTTGCTCTGTTGTGTCATCTCCTTTTTAAACGTATATTTTTTGAATTTTGTCCATTTCATACAAAACGTCTTACTATTCTTTATACCTCTCCTCTGTCTGAATCCCCCTTAGCCTGGTCCACTCCACTGGATTGTATGCATTCTGTCATATATGTTTAGGCCTATCGAGTCAAGTTAGTGTGCCTGGATGTACCTCTGTGCAAGTTTATCCACTGTGGTCAGGTCAACCTAGAGTCTCTCAAAGAAAATCCACTCTCCTTCCCCTGGCAGTGATCAGCTGTCAATAGTCCGTTTCACTACTTTGGGGGCTGGCTGCCCATTTCCTCAGTTCTATACTGGATATTTGTCTGCTTGAATTTGTATGGGTCCTGTGAATGTTGCCACCAGTGCTGTAGGATCATATGAGCAAGGACCCAGGAGCCTGTTAGACTCTGTTTACATATGGTCCTGCACCTCATCCCCTGGCTTTTACACTCCCCCCTTTTCTGCAATGGTCTCTGAGCCCTGGGTGGGTGGAGTTTAATACAGGAGCCCTGTCCAAGGGTCCACGTTCTGCAGACTCTTAATCTCTATGCTTTGGCCATTTGTGGTCTTTTCTGTTCATTGCTTCTTTTGCAACAGACAGAGATTATTACAGATTTCCACAGCTGCTCACACAGAAAATTTCTGTGAGATGCCCAACCCTAAGAGACATATATACAATGGAACATCTAGACCTAGGCTCACAGAATGTAGTGAAACAAGGGCCAGAAGCAACACTCACTTGGGTAACTGCACACATCCCTCAGGGTGGGACCTATAGCCCAAGGGCTGATGGAATGCTGCCACTCAGAACAGACCTAGCAAATACAGGGGAGCCACGCACGTTCTTTCATGTCAAGCAATACCCAGGTGACTGACTATCTGTGAAACAGTCCAAGTCCAGTGCAAAGGAGGCTGACAACTGCTGGTCCCCAGGTCACTCCCCAGTACTCAGGCCTAGCTACAGACATCTCCTCAGAACAAGCTCAGTATCAAGGGCCCTGTGGACACACAAAACCCAGGGCAGGGCCAATACCTATGGTACCAATCGGATGATGCTCCTAGGTCAGACTAAGAACCCAAGAGGCAATTCACATGTCTTCTCCAGGGCAGGACTTGACCAAGGTGGGTGCCCTCATGCTGTACTATGAACACTCATTCTTCTCTCCAGTTCAGGCCACAGTACCTTGGGAAACCCACAAATAACCTACAATCCAGGATCTGTGACCAGGGGCTACAGAGACACTAACACCTGAGCAGGCCTGATGTTCAGGGGGATGACCTCATTGTTTCCCAGGGAAGATTCAGAATCCTGGGACCACCTTCATGCTCCTGACAGTTCAGGTCCAGCATCCAGGAGGTCAACCACATACCACTACCCATTCCGGTCCAGCGTTCATGGGATGAAGTGCAGGCTGAAGTCTTGTCAGGCAAAGCACTGAAATGTGGGAAAGCTCATCTTTCCCCAGAGCTCAGGGTCACTGTTCCAGGAACTAACCACACTGTCCCCTTATGCAAACTCAGTGCCCATGAGTCCACCCACACCCTAGTTCACAGCATGACCTATGTCTCAGAGACTGACCCCACTTATCCCACAGGACAGCCCAGTACCCAGAGTGATGGCCACACACTGTTTCCAGGGAAGACCAAGGCACAACTGACAAGACATGAGGATGTGCCTTATTCCTGGACCAGTGATGCAGGTCAAACATTCTTGTCTAAGGGTCTGGCTCCTGAGAACGGGTTACTTGGGTTTATGGGTGATGCTACTATTGTGTTTCTGTTTTGTGTCTCTGTAAATGTGCCTGTCCATGTGTGTGTGTGTGTATGTGTGAGTGTGTGTGTGTGTGTGTGTGTGTGTGTGTCTGTGTCTGTGTCTGTGTCTGTGTCTTTGTATGTGGATATCTAGATGTAAAAAATATATCAGACATCAGCCTGGAGATAACTGAAGATATACAGCCATGAGGCAGATGAGGAGTTGTGTTGGGTTGAGTGGAAAAGGTCTTCAATCTTGGATGTCTATTCAGCATCCAGGGTACTGAGGGCTACACTGTAAGCCAGGAGGCTCATCTGACCCTGTGCACTCTCCCTTCTCAGCTGGGCTCCAGGCAGACCCCAGCTGCACCTCAGGGCTCTATTGCTGGTGCCATTCTGGTCAGGAACAGACACTCAGGACAGATAGTCAAAAAGATAAGTTGTCTCTGTGCTTCTGCTTCTGGTACCACTGTCCCCTCTCACCTATCTAGAGCCCTCTAGAGGCTGGATTGGGATGAGATTCAGTTACAGATGCTGGTTGCATGACCTGGTAACTGACTCCTGGGTAATCTGTCATCTTTGATCACCCAGATGTTTTGGGGGCATGGTCACTGGACACATGTCTGCAAGAGGAATTGGAGGAGGGCAACTTGGCAGAAAAGAAGCGGGGCTGTGAGAGGCTTCATTTCTGTGCAGAAGCAATGTCCCTAATGCACGGACAGTGCCCTCGCATGTAGCAGCCTCAGGTGGAGCCAATCTCTCTCTCTCTCTTTCTCTCTCTCTCTCTCTCTCTCTCTCTCTCTCTCTCTCTCTCTCTCTCTCTCTCTCTCTCTGGCACTGGTATGTTGTTGACCACAGAAGCCAGATGACAAGAGTTTGGGGCCCAAGGCAGACCTGTCTTATTGAATGTCTTGGCTCTTATTACTCTTCTGCCTCTGTGGACTGGCTGAGCAGTTCAGTGCTTCCTGCCTGCTTTTGGGTGTGACTACACAGAGAGGTCTGAAGTCCTCCTGGCTGTGATCCTGGTCTGTCAGTGCCTTGCGGGTTTAGGGCTAAGGGGTTCCTTTTCTCTGCTTGTAGAAAGCCAGACCTCCTATTTCCAAGTTAAGGTCTTTGGTCCAGGTCTATATTTTTGTGTGTCCTGAAGAAAAAGGAAAACGGAGGATGGTCTGTTATAGCCCATAAAGGTGAGGGGCCCGTTTTCCTTCTTTCTGGGGACCTCCTGACGCCCCATGTGCAGTCGGCAGTGCTAAGTCGCTCAGGCTGAGCCCACCCATACATTTGGACTCCTCTTTCCTTCCCTCCTCCTCTTCCTTGTCCCCACTCCTCTTCCTGGTTGTGGCGTTGCTGCTGAGCCTGTCTGGAAGGGAGGTGGAGCGGCACATGTGGCTGATGGTGGCTGTCCCTGCTCTTTCCCCATCCCAGCCAGACTCTCACTCCAGATCATATGAGGATCCAGGTTTTCTTTCATTGAATTTTCTGTATTTCATACGTCTTGAACATCTTTAGATGTAACCCCTTGTAGCCGTCCCCCACTGGACTTCATTCACTCTGTTATATATGTGAAGGCCTGTTGAGTCATGTTTGTGTCCCCAAATGCAGCCCCAACTTTTTCTGTGGAACTATTGGAACTGATCACTGCTGGGTAGCCAGGGGTTTGCTTTCTCCAGGCAGTGAGTCTCCCTTTCCCATGAGCACTGATTTATGGTCATTTTTTGGTTTGTGACCCACTGCTAAGTTTGGTCTTGCCTGTCTAAACAGACAGGATTGGGTGTGGAATGAAACTAGGTTTCACCTTTGGGAGTCGGGGGCATCTTTACTCTCAGGGGACTCCCCAGGTTAGAAGTCCCCCCACTAGACACCTTTCTTACTCCTGAGAAGGTTCTGTTCCTTTCCCTACAATAATGCCTTATTAATTAGTGAACTGTACCCCTCCTGCAGAACTGATGCTGGAAGCCTTGAGTCTTTTATCTCCTCTGACTCCATCGTGGGATGCACTGTCAAATATTGGTCTAACTATGATCCTCAGTCTCAAAATGTGAACAGCTATTTTCCTTTGTTACAAAAACTCAGTTATTCCTAATTAATAACACTACCTACTTTGTACAGTTCAAAGTACAATTGTATCTGACAGGTCACTTTTTCATAATTTTGGAACGCATTCTCCCATCTGCAAACTGTCAAGACCTTGTACAGTAGGATATGAGGCTGATGTCATATATTCCTTACTAGATTTTTGCACACTAGCTCCTTTTGCTTAAATACAGTCCGAGATGACAAGCACATTCTAATTCCTGTTCTACCACAGCTTTTCCAAGTCCAGTCACCTCTTCATCTTGCAACTCTGCTCCATCCTCCCCTCCTCAATTGCACGAATCCTCCTACCTCTTTACCTGCACAGTCTCTAACTACTCCCCCTCTTCACAGAGAACCTCTGCCCTCATAGTCTCACTCGGGACCTTCATAAGGAACACAGGGAGGAAATAAAGGCCAACCCCTCTCCCTCACCTGGGTTGGATGGGGCATGAGGGCCAGCTCTGGCCTTAGGCCCCCTCATGCTTTTCTTAGGCGACAGTCATAGGATACTGGACTGCTGTTGTGTTCCTCTCTCTGTGTTGTTCCAGGGTCTCCAGCATATCAGTCATGTCACAGTCATGGGACATTCAGATGTACTGACAGAGATAAGAGAGACACCTGATCTCTACAGTCTGCCTCAGAGGCGACCCAGCAGCAACAGCAACTGCCTATAGAGCAACTGCCTATTGCAGCATCATGTATGGAAGACTGCTGTGGGGACAGAACACTTCCTGGGAGGACCCGGTTGAAAGCAAGCATGGCAGCATGTACAGGAGTCTGGGATCCAAGACAGGAAGGAGGCTGAGTTCCCACTTAATAACCTATAAAAGTCCCATATTGAATTTGTCAATGCTTTGTACCCAGAACATTACTTGTATGTCTCAGAAGGAGACATACAAGTGGTTAATAGATACATCGAAAAAAGTTTATTATACCTAATCTTTGATGAAAAGGAAATGTTAATCTTAAAATATGTCACCACATAAATTAGTCTGGACATTATTGAAACAAAATGTAACCTGTGTGTGAAGTGAGAAGCTTGCACACTGCTGGAGGAATGGACATTGGTACAGCCATAATGAGAGACCGTGTGGAGATTCCTCAGAACATGAACACAGATCTGCCCTAGCATCCATCCATTCCAGCACTGGGGCCATTCACAAGGGAGAGGGTATCAGGATGTCCATGAGAAATCTGCACTGCCATGTGTACAGGAGAAGTATTCACTACAGCAAGCTACAGAGTCAACCAATGTCCATCAGTGGACGAATGATGAGGAACAGTATGGGGGCCTCAAAACACTAAAAGCAGACCTGCCAGATTGTGCCTCCAGAGGGAGAGAAGTTTATGCAAATATATGTAAACATGAACATATATATGAATATATACCCATCATGACAGCACAGCTATGATTTCCAGTTACTATGATTTTTATTTAAGAAAAGAAAATAATCTGTATGTTGGAGCGCTGCATGGCATGTAGCATACTTCCCAGGCCCCTGTAACAATTTTTTGGAGATAGTCTAGGCTCAGCCCTGTGCAAACCGTGAATGGACGCAGGGTGCATAAGAGGTCACTGGGTTTTTAAGAGATGGGACCTTAGAGACAGCGTTCACGGTAAAGATCCCCAAAGGTGACTGTCAAAGTACAGCTCTGTCTGGCCCTTACAAGTAGCAGTATTTCTGCGGTCTTCTCATTGGAGCAGCAATGTGCCTGCCAAGGTGGTCAAGGTCTTCGCGCTGCCTCAGACCAGTGTTCTTCCAGAAAAGGGGTCAGTGCTAGGTGCTGGGTACTCTCTGAGTCGGCAGACATTTTTCTTTGCTTCTCCTTCTGCCCATCTCAAGCACCTGTTCTGGCCTTCTGCCCTCTTGGAAACCTGAAATAAACAACATTGTGAGTAAATATGAAAAGGTATTTCCTTGCCTCCTACCATATAATCGACCACCCCTTCGCCATGGCCTGTCCTAAAAAACATCACCTCTGTATCCCTCTTTCATCCAGGATGTTGGGGTTCAACATGGAAGGTCCTGTCACTGTCCCATCCATATGAGGCTGGACTAAGGCTTTGTCCCTTGATTATGAGTGGTTCCAGGGGTTTCTCTTGTCCCCATGCTGTGGCCCAACATGCCTTGGAGGCCACAAAGTAGCAGCAGCAACATTGTTTCTGATAAGTGCAGAAAGGTAAATACTTCAGACCTTTCTGGGAGATACTGATGAAAGTAAGCTAAGCAAGGGATCCTAGAGTGTGGGTCCAGCAGGGGGACGCTGAGTTCATCATGATCCTATCTGAGGGTCTCTGGGTTCATTCAGTAGGTGGAAATGTCTCAGGAAACCATGGCGCACAGAGAGGAAAGCCGTGACTATCAGGGGAGGGCGTCTCAGTGGTTGTCCCTCCCACAGTTCCCTGCTCTCTGCCATACCTGGTGCCGGCCCCGTCTCTGGATTCAAATGACAAACACTTCAGATTTCATGTGGGATCCACTCAAAGGACAGTTGAGCTCACCTTGAAGGTGGCTGGCTGTGCTGGTGAAGTGTGGGCACTAGACATGCAGCCTTCACACAGCTCCCGTGAAGCAGTAGTAGTGTGAGAACTGTCGGAGGCGGGAGTGCAGACAGGAGCTAGCTGAGTTGTTGGGACATGGAAGCGTTACCAAGAGGGGGAGTCACATGAAATATGAAATTACCTTGTTTCAAAATGTGAGTCTTCTCCATTTCAACAAATCTTCAGTACTGTCAAGTTGGGACCAGTCACATAGGGAGGAGGTGGAGCCGTTCCTGTGTGTGTGGAGGGGGATCATCCAGATACAAGTATTGAAAGTCAAGATGACTCATGGTGCAAAGTCAGACAGGCCCAGTGATTGGTACTGGGGTGAGCTGTAGGGGTCTATGGATCTGGGGGTGGGGGACTGTGCAGTAGCCAGAACACTCCTGAGGGTTGCCCCATAGCCAATGGACTCACCTGTCCCTGTCCACTCTACCTTCCCACCTGGGCTCCAGATGGATCCTCCTGCATCTCCGGCCTCCCTTGCTGTCTCCAACCTGATCAGCAACTTATAGCTAGGACATACACAAGGAAACAGGTCAGGCCCAGGGTGGTCTTTGGTGTCCAGTGCCACTGTCTCCTCTAATGGCCCAGAGGCCCATCTGGAGGCTGGCAGCTTATCTGAGGAACCCACTGTGCATTTAAGTCCTGTGCACCTTTGTGGTATTCTCCAGTTTCCATATTCATTGCCAGTATTCTGTGATCTTTCTTTCAGAGTTTCTGAGTGCTTCAGAGTGATTCTTTGGCAGGAAGCCATTCCGGAGTGACTGACCTTCATAGAACTGCCTCTGGAATGTCAGAAGAAAACTGGACTCAGGCTCTTTCCGTCTTCCCTCACTCCTCAGGGCCCTAGCTGACCTGAGAAGGATGAACCCTTCCCTCCTTCCACCACAGACATGGGGGCATTTTCTGCTTACTGTCAGCTAAGGATGTGGACACAGCCACCCATTGGCACACAGCCACTTGGAATTCCTAGCCCGCTCTCTCCTTGGGTGTCTGTGTCTATGCCAAGCTGCTCCCCACTCTCTAGCTCTCTAGGATCAGCCTCCTGCAAGTTCAGTGGCTCCCACATCACTTGAAACAGACATGATAAAACTAGTCTCTCACCCCGGGCTTCCTCACTGGACGAGGCAGGTGACAGACATATCAAAGGAAGCCTTGCTGCTCTCTGGGTTAGGAGTACAGTCTCTAGTCACATCTTTGCTTTGCCCAGAGGAGGATTTTGCAGATGTGAACTCTGAAGATGAGCAAGCCCATAATGAAGTCTTGGTGGTACTACTCTAAGCCGCTCCTGGAGGGCTGCTCATGACGTGAGCCATGTGGACTCCCCGTGGGAGTGCTGTTCAGTGCAGGTCCTCTTCAGGAGGGATAACTTGTCATCCTGACTCCTCTTCAGTAAATACAGGGTGAAAGGCATTCTTCAACTCTGGCCACTTTTTCTCTTTTCCATGACACTCAGGTCGAGCACACAAAGTAAACATGGGGAGACTAGGGGCACCGGATGCCCTACTTAGAGGGAAGGAAGTGCAGGGGTCATGGCACTACTCTGCCAATTGGACATTAAAAGTTCCCGAATGTGTGACTGCATGGGCTGGAGCAAAGTGGAAGCCACCGCCCATACTGGCTTGCCATGGCTCCTCTGTAGCAGTAGAGGAGGCTGTGTGAGTTGAGGGACAAGGCAGGGGCAAGGTGTGTTCTTGGGTCATGAGGGCAATTCCGAGAGGGGCAGTCACATAAAATATGTATTCACCTGTTTCGATGGGGGCACCTTACCAAGTCATCAAACCTTCACTAGTGTCAACTGTGGATTGGCACACAGAAGACAGGAGTGTGTATTTGTGTATTCATCCAGATGTAAAAATGAGAGTGCAGTTGAGATGACGCAGGGTGAAAAGTATGAGGTCAGGAGCTGGTGCTGGGGTGGGCTGTGAGGCTCTCTGGATCTGGGACAGCGCTGCCTAGTAGTCAGGATGCCGCTGAGTTCTTTAGCACAGGCAGTAATCACTCATCTGACCCTGTCCACTTTACTTTCCCACCTGGGCTTTTAATTCACCTTCCATGCATCAGTGTTCTGTTGCTGCCAGCAAATTACAGCAAGAAACACACAGTCCAACAGGTTAGGCCCAGTGTAGTCTTCTATGTCCTGATCCTCTGTCCCTGCTAATGACCCATAGACTCATCTGGAGGCTTGCGGCAGAGATGAGGTTCTCACTGTGCATCCAAGGTCCCATGTACCTTTGGGATTGTCCTTGGAGTTTGCCTGATGATCACCAGTGCTCTGTGGATCTCACTTCTCAGGGTCTCAGAGTCCTGCAGTGTGTTTCACTGGTGTGAAACCACTCTGGTGCCACCATGCATCAAGGAGCTGCCTGTTGGGGAGGGTTAGGTAGATGTTGAGGTCAGAGCTGGCACCCAGAATCTTCTCTCACTCCTCTGGGTCCCAGCTGACCTGCAGTGTGGGACTCCCTCATTACTTCCTCTACATGCACATGGGCGCTTTGCCCTTACATTAGCTAGTGATGTTTACACAGCTTCCCACTGGAACACAGAAACCTGGAATTCCTACCGTGGCTCTCTCCTGTGGCTGTCTGCATCCATGCCAGGCTGCAATCTACTCTCGGGTGTTAGCCTCCAGGGAGTTCAGTGATTTCCACAGCACTAGAAAACAGAATAAAGTGAGTCTCTTAGTGGTGATAGGCAGGATAATACTTGACTGTGCTGGCCCTGTGTTGGGATGATTCCTCAAGCTGATTCCTCAAGAATGATCCACTGGTCCCTTTCAGCAACTCTCTCCTCCATCCTTCTCCACCCTCAGATCGCCATCCTCTGCTATCTACATCTAGTACAAAGTTCTCAGGACTCTCAATAGGAGGACAGATAGTATGTTGTTTGCTTTCTGTGGTGATAGATGTAATGTCACCTAACCCCTCAAATGTATATATTCAGAATGTGTTAACTGAAGGGGACATTATTAACAGCATGCATGAAGAGAATGCAGAAGTGCATCTGACCATCCCACCTGCTTGTTTCACCGAGGTCTCTGTGGTCCTCACTCACTGCCAAGATTTTACTCCTGGCCAGGGGTGGTTTCCTTTAGGCAGAGAGGTGTGGTCTCTTTGGGGGTGGGAGGCAGTAGCATGAACCCAGGAAGCAGTTTTTAATCCCACCCACCAGGTCTTCCCAGCCCACATTATGCTTGTTTTGAGGGGCTCTGGGCACGCTCTGGGGCTGGCCACTGAAGTCTCCTCAGCTGTTTCCAGGGCGGATCATCTGCCGCCTGTGTCTTTTGTGCTGGGGCTTTCGCTCTTGGCTCCCTCACTGGGCAAGGCAGGTGATGTGTCCCAGGAACATTTTCTGCTGTCTGAGTTAGATGTGCAGTCTGTGTTCACATCTTGGGTTTGCTGGGGGCAGGGGCGGCTTGCAGATATGAACTCTGAAAGTATGGAAGTTTTGATGAATTTTTGGAAGTTTTGCTGCTCGAAGCCTCTTTTGAAGTGCTGCTCATGATTACGCTGAAGGTTCGTTTGTTCGGTGTGGGTTCTCTTCAGGAGTGTTGGCTTGTCAGCCTGGGTCCTCTTCAGGGAAGACAGTTTGGGCGGCATTTTTTGTCTCAGGCCACGTTCTCATCTACTAGAGAAAACCCAAAGACTGTCACATCCCTAGACAAATGTAATTTATTAGTGTGTGCAAACGATGGAATTTTATATTTACAGACAGGTATCCCAGTCACCACTCATCAAAGAAGCTTCCTTTGCAACAGGCAGAGACAATTACAAAGTTCCACACCTGGTAGTACACAGAGATTGCGAGTTTACCAAGCCCAAATGAAATGACTACAATGCGACCTCTATACCTAAGGCTCACGGAACATGGTGGAACAAGGGGTAAAGGGAACACTCATGCATCTTTCAGCTCTCATCAATGAAGCTCCCTCATGTGGCAGAGGGTCATGAAGACAAGATGCCACAAATGGCCAAAGCGTAGATAACAGGATTCTGCAGAGTGTGTGTCTTGGACAGGACTCCCACATTAAACTCCACCCACTCAGGGTTTAGGGATCATTGCAGAAGAAGGGGCAGAAAGAGTATACAGTCCAGGAAGGAGGTACATGACCATATAGAAGTGGACCTTGCTCGTATGAACCCACAGATATGGTGCCAAAGAACCATTGGCAGCTGATCACTGCTGGGTGAGGAACAGCTGATCTTAAGGGGAGGGACTCTAGATTGGCCGACTAGACCTCAATGGATAAACTTGTGCTGAGGGAGTTCTGGGGGACAGTAACTCGACTAGATGGGCCTTAACAAAAATAACAGAATGTGTAAACTCCAGTGGGGCAGATTCTACGGGAGGGAACCAATGGGGAAGGGGTTATAAAGATGATTAAGATGTTCTGTATGAAATACACAAAAATTGAATAAAAAAAAACTTAGAAAAAATGCAACCCACCTACTTGTTTAAAACTTAGAAAAAATGCAGAAGTGCATCCTGACCACCCACCTACTTGTTTTCTCTGAGGTCTCAAAGGTCCTCCTCAGTTCATGACAGGATTTTGCCCCTGTGCAGGCGTGGTCTCCTTTGGGAGGGGACATGTGGTCTTCTTGGGGTTGGGAGACAGCAGCATAAGCTGAGAAAGCCATCTCGAATTCTTCTCCCAAGGCTCCTCCAGCCACCTGTTTGCTGCCTTGTCCGATACAGTTTGAGAATATTCGGATGCTGTGTTCTCATCTTGGTCTTCAGACTGGCCGCTGAGTTGCTCCTCAGATGCTTCTGAGGCAGATGAGCTTCCGTCTCTCTGCTGTGAGCTGCTGCTCTCATCCTGGTCTTCCTCACTGCACAAGGAAGGTGACATAGTGCAGGAAGACTCGCTGCTCTTTGTCCTATAAATGTTTCTGGTCACTTGTTTTTTTCATAGGAAGAGATTTTTGCAGATGTGAACTCCCATGATTCAAGAGTGGAGATGCTCTCAATCTCTGCTGAGGTGATCCCCTTGCATTCATCCATCTGAGGACAGTGTGGGCAAGGTTGCTCAGTGCCTGTGCTCCTCAGGGGAGAAGTTTTGTCCCTGTGGGCCCACTTGGAAAGCATGCCATGACTTTGACTAGACTTCTCCCCTTCATTAAGTTTAGGGACAGTGGGCAAAGGGAACATGGGAAGGGTAGGGACACTCAATGCCCTTTTGCGGGGCACAGAAAGGCGGAAGCATGTACAGCATTGTTATCCAAATTGCCCCTCTGGGATGACTGTCGCTCTAGCATTAAATATGTTGCCATAACATCATTGAATTCTTGCAGTTTCAAAGAGTCTTTGATTTCTTGAGGCCTATAGCCCATGACGCACATATCTATGAGAATCAAAAGGTCTGATTGGTGGGGGAGTTGTTCTGTTGTGCAAACTATTGTGGAAGAAGGCTCTATATCATGGTTCAGCCATGGGTGCTGCATTAATTGGATGATAGTGGGCCTCCTTCTGGGAGTAACACTCAGCAACTGGGCAAGGAGATTTTTCAGGTCTAGGGAGAGCTGTGACGGCATGGTGTAAGGTGTTCTGCTTGGTCCTGCAGTTCGCTGTGTTTCCAAATGGGAGCTTCCCTGATACGATGAAATACAGCACTGCTCCCAGGCTCCGGATGTCAGCAGCCAGCCCATCGTATTGTTGGAAACCAAAGAGCTCTGGGGCACGATATACAAATGTCCCATAGAAATCATTGACCCTCTCCAGGGCGGAGTTTTCTCCCCAACCCAAAATCACACAGCTTTATATGACCCTTCCCATCCAGCAGGATGTTCTTGGCTTTCAGGTCACGGTGGGCAACCCCGTTCTGGTGGCAAAACAGAATTGCCCAGGATAACTCTAGGAAGAGTCTGCGGGCCTCCTCCTCCTCCACATGCCCAAGCTTCTCCACATAGTGCTTCAGCTCTCCCCCGCTGGCATATTCCAGTACCAAGCACACATTTTCTACCATGTTAATGACCTGATACAGTTTGATAATATTTGGATGTTGGAGCATTTTCATAATTTCAGTCTCTCGCCTTGTCAGGGAGCCATTGATTTTGGTCTTTGTCAGCACTTTCACTGCCACTTTGGTAGCAGTGAGGCGATGGTAGACAAGTTTCATGTGCCCAAAACTGCCTTTGCCCAGTGTCACTGAGATTTCATAGTGACTTGATAGGGTGTTCTCCTCACACAAACCATCCTCGAGGTCACTCCCCATGATGACCTCACTTCTCTTTGTAGAAATAATCAGTAGCAGCATCAAATAAAATGGGAGAGAAAGGAAGTTAAAAGTAATAGTAGGCGTTGATAGCCATAAATGCATTACAAAATCAGAGATACCACAAATAAACTGTGTGTCTGTATGTTTCCAGGTCACAGGAAAACAAGTGGAAATCATACCCAAAGGCAGGGGTGGAAGAAGCATCCAGGATCAGAGCTGACAGGGAAGAAAGAGAAAGCAGAAGAAAATGGGGCAGCAGAACAGAGATCCTATTTGAAAGGATAAAATGCCGACACACCTTTAGCTGAAGAACCAATAAACAAGGGAAGGCACTGATTGACTGTAATAAAATTAGAAACAAAAAAGCTCTTACTACAGTGGGTGTCTCTGACATCCGGAGGATCATCAGGGACTATTTAGAGACTTTACACTTCTCTGACCTGAAAAGTTTGAAGTAAATAAATTTCTGGACACATTTGACCTACCAAAATTGAGCCAAGAAGATATAAGAGTCAGAAAAATCAATCAAGAAGATTGAAAGAGTGAAAAATAAAAAATAGTGTAAGAAAGAATACCCAGGACCAAAGAGGGTCATGGTGGGTTTACCCAAGAATGCAGGGAAGGTAAGATACACAAATTGATTGAAAAAACACTGTGTTTTGTGGGCTGGAGAGATGACTCCAAGGCTAAGAGCCCTGGCTGCTCGTGCAGAGGACATGGCTCCATTCCCAGCACCCACTTGGTGGCTAGCAGCCATCCAGACCTCTAGTTGCAGGGCATTTGATGGTTTC